AAATTGATTGGAGTACAGTTTTTCATAGTATTCTTTTATGATTCTTTTCATTTCAGTTGGGCTGTTGTGATATTGTCCATCTCATTTCTTATTAGATTTATTTCTTTCCTCTCCTGTTTTTCTTTTGTCAGTTGGCCAGTGGTTTATTGAGTTTGTTGATCTTTTCAAAAAACCAGCTTTGGTCTTCTTAACTCTTTCAATTGCTTTTCTAATCTCTATTTCATTTATTTCTGCTCTAATTTTTATTATTTCCTTTCTTCTGGTGCCCATGGGCATCTTTTGCTGCTCTCTTTCTATTTGTTCTAGTCGCAGGGTTAATGTTTTGATTTTGGCCCTTTCTTCTTTTTGGATGTGTGCATCTATTGCTCTAAATTGACCTCTGGTGTACTGACCCTTTAATCATCATATAGTGTCCTTCCTTATCCTTTCTGGTGGATTTTGCTTTAAAATCTATTTTGTCAGAGATTAATATTTTCACTCCTTCTCTTTTATGATTGTTGTTTTCTTGATATTTTTTTCCCATCCTTTGAGTTTTAGTTTGTTTATGTCTTTGAGTCTAAGGTGTGTCTCTTGTAGGCAGCATATAGACAGATTGTGTTTTTTTTTAATCCATTCTGCCACTCTCTGTCTCTTGATTGGTGCATTTAGTCCATTTATATTCAGCAAAGTTATTGATAGATTTTAGTGCTGTCATTTTGATGTCTTTTTTTGTGCATTGATGACAGTTTCTTCGTTCCACTTAATTTCCTGTGCTGAGTCATTTTTCTTTATGTATTTTCTTTTCATCTTTTTCATTGTTGTTGATTTAGTATTTGCTGAATCTTATATTTTTCTTGTTTTTCTATTTTGATATGTAAGATTGTTAGTTTCTTTTGTGGTTATCTTAATATTTACCTGTGTTTTTCTAAGTTTAAACAAAAATATGGAATGCTTCACGAATTTACATGTCATCCTCGTGCAGGGGCCATACTAATCTTCTCTGTATTGTTCCAATTTTAGTATATGTGCTGCCAAATTGATGACTCCTTTAAGGTTTTAATATGATGTTCTCACAACATCCAAATCATGTAATACATTTCACAGAACATATCGTGGACATTAAGCAACGCATGTTGTTGTTGTTAGGTGCCATCAAGGTGGTTTCAACTCATAGCGACCCTATGCACAACAGAAATAAACACTGCCTGGTCCTGCACCATCCTTAAAATCATTGTTATGTTTGAGCCCGTTGTTGCAGCCTATGTGTTAATCCATCCAGTAGAAGGTCTTTGTTTTTTTCACTGACCCTCTACCTTACTGAGCATGATGTCCTTCTCCAGGGACTGGTCACTCTTGATAACATGTCCAAAGGACATAAGACGAAGTTTCGCCATCCTCAACTCCAAGGAACACTCTGGCTGTACTTCTTCCAAAACAGATTAGTTCATTTTTCTTATAGCCCACGGTATATTCAATATTCTTGGCAAACACCATAACTGAAAGACGTCAGTTCTTCTTTGGTCTTCCTTATTCATTGTCCAGCTTTTGCACGCATATGAGGCGATTGAAAATACCATGGCTTGAGTCAGGTGCATCTTAGTCCTCAAAGTGACATGTTTGCTTTTTCATACTTTAAAGAGTTCTCTTGCAGCGGATTTGCCCAATGCAGTATGTCCTTTGATTTCTTGACTATTGCTTCCATGGGTGTTGATTATGGATCCAAGTAAAATGAAATCCTTGACAACTTGAATCTTTTCTCCATTTATCCTGATGTAGCTTATTGGTCAAGTTATGGGGATTTTTGTTTTGTTTATGTTGATATATAATCCATACTCAAGGCTATAGTCTTTGCTCTTCATCAGTAAGTGCTTCAAGTTCTCTTTGCTTTCATCAAGCAAGGTTGTGTTATCTGCATATCGCAGGTTGTTAATGAGTCTTCCTCCAATTCTGATGCCCCATTCTTCTTCATATAGTCCAGCTTCTTGGATTATTTGCTCAGCATACAGATTGAATAAATATGATGAAAGAACAACCTTGATGCACACTTCCCAGATTTTAAACTATGCAGTATCCCCTTGTTCTGTTCGAATGACTGCTTCTTGATCTATGTACAGGTTCCTTATGAGCACAACTAGGTATTCTGGAATTCCCATTCTTTGCAATATTATTCATAATTTGTTACAATCTACACAGCCCAAAACCTTTGCACAGTCAGTGAAATACAGGCAAATGACATGCACCTGTTTGTGTATACGTGTGTATACATATATATAATGTATATATTGTGTGTGTATATATATATAGATAATGTATATATTGTCTATGTATATATATAAAAGGGATGTATACATATGTTGGTCATCTGTTGGACACTGCTAGCTTGAGGTAGTTCACAGTTTCAATGTTAGATCATGCCACATTCTTTCCAATATCATCATTTTTGTGAAACTGAGTTTCAGTAGTTGCTATGAGGTCGTGCAAATGGTTAACACACTCAGCAGTTAACCAGAAGTTTGGAAGTTTGAGTCTACCCAGAGATGCCTAGAAAGAAAGGCCTGGTGATCTACTTCTGAAAAGTAGTCATTGAAAACTCTATGGAATACAGTTCTACTTGACACTCACTGGGTTGCTATTAGTCAGAATCTATGCCCAGGCACCTGGTACATG